TAAAAATTTAATTAATTTTATCACCGTGGTTTTCACGAGTTATAAACTACTTATATATACAGAGAGAGAGAGAGGGAGAGGGAGAGGGAGAGAGAGAGAGAGAGAGAGAGAGAGAGAGAGAGAGAGAGAGTTAGTCAAACACTCATTCTCTCTCCTCTTTAATACTCCGTTCTATTTTATAAAACTAGCTTTTATATTTTATAAAGACTTTCCAATATACATACATATTTGTAAGTTTTATTTATTTAATTTAGGGAAATCTCCGGAAAAGTCCTAATATTTCACCCTAATTTACGAAAAAGTCCCAAACTAAAATTTGTTTATGAAAATGTCATCATTACCGGTAAAAATGATGATTTGACCATTTTTTTCCGGTTTATCGGTTTCAATAGTCACCCGGTTTCATTAAAGTCTCAGTATTTTACCATAATTTGGGACTTATTCGTAAATTATGGTAAAATAATGAGACTTTAATAAAACCGGGTAAGTAATGAAACCAGTAAACTGGGAAAAATGGGTCAAATTGTCATTTTTATCAGTAATTGAGACTTTTTCGTAGACAAATTTTAATTTGGAATTTTTTCGTAAATTAGGGTAAAATATTTGGACTTTTCCGGAGATTTCTCTTTAATCTAACTTTTTAAATTAAATAAATAAATTTCACACAAACAAAAGCATTTAATAATTAAACAATATAAGTACCAAACTTATAATAGTCCATACACTTATGAATAACATTTTATTATTAATATTATTATTATTATTATTATTATTATTAGACTGTAGGGAGTGGGCACGGTTTGCAACCGCGGTTTTGCCACGTGGACCGCGAACACCGCCCCTTGGTGCGGTCTCCTGCAGCTTAGACCGCAATGTGGCACTTTCTAGCCGCATGTTTTGATTGGATGGGGAATATGGGGATTATCTTGACCGTTGAACGGTCGATTGTGCAGAAATTAATTTTTTTTTTTAAATTTACCCTCTATATAGTTACCATTTCATACAAAATTCTCACTATTCCTTATCTTTTTACTATCTTTTTTTCAAATTTTTTTCAAAATGTCTTTTTCCAAAAGATCCACCAAAGAAAAAACACCCGCTCGAAACACTACAACCCCAATACCATCATTTGATCAACCGATTTTTTCGCCTTCGTATTACCACTATGGCGGTATGATTCCGTATTTTCCACAACAACCAACACAACCACTACCACAAACACTACCACAATCTGACACATATTTTAATCCATTTGATTTTTTGTCTCAACCCGAGTTTATTCAACAAACACAAGCACAACCACATACAGTCCTTTCTAATTCCGAACCAGAATTCGTTGAAGAAATTCAGCCCACTCGAGCATCAACTAAAAGAAGAGAGAAAGCGCAGGCTAAAGGTTGGGAACCCCTACAAGTGTTAGTGTTGGCACAATCTTGGATCGATATTTCAGAAGATGCGACGATTGAAAAAGACCAAAAGCATGACCGTTTTTGGATTCACGTTTTACATAGGTTCCATAAAGGAATGAATCGTGGAGAATACCATATAAAACATCAAAGTGTACTCGAAATGGGGGAAGATGAACAAGGAAATCATGTTGTTTAATGATTTGTATACCAACATGAAACGTCAATGGAAAAGTGGAGAAAACGATGATGTAATTTTGAGGAAAGCGCTTAAAGTGTGTCAAAAAGAAAACCTGAAGGATTTCAAGTTTCTTGAAGTTTAGAATTTTGTGAAAGATAACAAGAAATGGCAAAACAACAAAACATCAGACGAGCATATCGACAGTGATTCAAAACGCAACAAAACATCCGAGTCCAACACACTACATCAGATGCTCGTGTTCAATTTGATCTCAACAAAGATGAATTTGTTCCAGTTTGACCACCTTCTCGATTAATGTAGGTTTTATGTTTCTATACTTTTAGGTTTTTTTTAAGTTAAGCAATGTATGGCATTTTTATTTTTAATTAATGAAATATTATCTTTTTTAAAAAAAATAAAGATTTTATCTATTAAAAAAAAATAATAAAATAAACCCAAGTAATGCAATGTAATGTTTTTTTAAAATGAAGTTTTTAAGATTATGTTTTATTTTTATTAAAAATGAAGTTTTATTCGATTAAATTATTTATAAAAAAAAAGTGTGGCACCACTCCTTGGGTGTGTCAACAAATCACACTTATGTGGTAAAAAATGATGTGGTGCACATGTGACAGTGAAAGGAATGAGGTTTGGGTGGCATCACTCCCTCCGACCTTATTATTATTATTATTATCATCATCATCATTATCATGTAAAAATAAATTCAAGAGTTATAATATTTTAATATGAATCAAACTCGTATACTATAATATTAATTTAAGTGTCCACTTGTTATTGGTGTGACACTATTGGATCATATATTATTGACAATATCGTTTGATGACAATTCTTGAGAATATAAAACCAACATAATATATATAACAGTAGCCAATATTCATCTTATGAACACAACAATTGCTTAAAGTATGACTAATTTTATCATTTAGACATTAAAAATTTGTTGTGACCATTGTTTTTATTATAGTCATAGATACATATTCAAGCCATAGTTGTAAGTGTCGTATACTTACATAATTGTTTTATAATTGTAAAAATTGTAGAACATAGAGGCACATGAATGTAGAAATAAGTGATATATGTTATGATTTTGATACATAATTGTCTACATTGACAACATTATTTAGTTCTTAGTCATGTATATTAAATTAAAGCATGACTATAAAATCATTGTACATACACAACTAATATTTTTCTGTCCTTATAAATTATGCACACCGAACCCACACAAGCCAGTATTTAAGTGGTCTACCTTTAACCCTTACCCATCCTTCTTTGAGCGGTTTTGTTATTGAGATAACACATAAAGAATGTTACACCAAACAAAACGACTATCACACTTTCTAGTGAAATAAATCACAATCTTTTGAAATAAAGTAATTGTCATCCATGAAATCCTATAAGTTTGTCTACCGATAATTAATAATGCCGAAGGATTAAAGCACCCAAACACATATCGAAAATTGATTACAATCAAAACTACACCCTTTTCCCATTCATGTACCCGAAAATATCCCTCTATGACAACCATATGCTAGAAGATTAATGAGACAAGATTGTACCCACAAACTCACACCAAACTTCATGACAGAAAAAACAACGAGCACTAAACTTCACATGAATCTGGATGTGAGATTATGAAATTTTCCTTTCAGTATTCACTTCATGTACTATAATATAGAGTACATATAATAAAAACAAATGTACAACATCATGGTAAGGATGCCAAAATAGTTTGTTTAATAATAACTTAACAAACCAAAATTACCAGGATCCAAGGTATTTATGAAAACAAAAATATAATTATAAAATAAAATGAGTTTAAAAAGAATTCTTTTTGTATTAAATATAATAAATTACGAATCTGTACCTTATGGCTTAGCATCTTGCTAATGTTAGTTTTATGGTTTTATATAAGTTATTGCTGTTTCAAAAAAACGAATTTGTCATTATTTTTAAGTTTATTTTTTTATTGTTAATATAGTTTTTAATTAAAGATTCTCGCTGTTTCCAAAAAAATAAATTTATAGTATATCATTATTCCTAAGTTTATTTTTTTATTGTTAATATAGTTTTTAATTAAAGAATCATTCGTCCCACGCCTTGCGTGGGGGTCATTAATTCCCATCTACTACCTAAAGAATAAAGATATGCCCCGCGTGGACTCACTAGATTATTCAATTAGTTTTCAAGCGTTTGTTTGTTGAATACTAGATTGCTTTGTTCTTTCAAAATTTTGACCAAATTTTCAACTACTATTCGGTTGCAAAATTTTAAAAAGTCCTATTCAAATATGTGTTAAAATTTCAATTTTGGGGGTATAATCCCATTTTGTGGAAAAACATAACTAAATGGCCTTTGTAGTATAGAAATTGACCGATATTTATCATTCAATCAAAATGTCCTAATTTAAACAAAAGGTATAGGTTTATGAATAAAATAAACAGGATTCAAATCCAAATGTAATGGCTGTAGATTTATGAGTAAAACAATAATGTAAACAGTTCTAAAAAAAATCTTATTAAAAATTTATGATACATATAAAAAGATAAGAATGTGAACAACATCAAAAGCAAAACTAATAACGACACATTGGTTTTTATTTTTTTAAAATTATCTTAATACAGATTCAAGAATCACAATAAAAGTTTAATCAACTAATTACCTCATAATTTTTTTCACTTTCATTTTTTTTAAAGTTCTTTTTTAACAAACCAATTAGGCATTAGCTACATCCATATTAAAAAGATTCTAATTTAATATAAAAAAATCTAGAATCTGTATCAAGCTAAAGTTTTCTACAAATACGGCCACAAATTTGAACTTATCATCGTCTCCTTATCCCTATATAACTCCACTACTTTTGGGACCTTACAACAGTCAGAGGGTGCTGATTGAAAATGGGTTCCCTTCCAGTCTTGACTACTCTTGAAGAATCAGAAGTATCGCCACCTCCGGCCACCGTATCCAACAGGTCCCTGCCACTCACTTTCTTTGACTTCTTATGGCTAACCTTCCCTCCGGTTAACACCGTCTTCTTCTATGACCTCCCCATCACTAAATCACAGTTCACTGAAACCATCGTTCCCAAACTGAAAAATTGATTATCAATCACCCTTCAACATTTTTTTCCTTTTGTTGGTAATTTGATCGTATTTCCTTCTCCTGATCAAAAACCAGAAATTCGATATGTTGAAGGTGATTCTGTCGATGTTACGTTTGCAGAATGTAACCTTAATTTCAACGATCTTACAGGAAACCATCCACGAGAGTGTGACAAGTTTTATCATCTTGTACCTCTTCTTAAACGCACTGTTAAAGTCTCCGACTATATAACAATCCCAGTCTTCTCCGTTCAAGTGACACTTTTTCCAAACTGTGGATTTTCTATTGGCATGACGAATCATCATAGCTTGGGTGATGCTAGCACCCGGTTTTGTTTCTTGAAGGCGTGGACATCGATAGCTCAATCAGGGACAGATGAATTGTTTTTAACTAATGGAACGTTGCCTGTTTATGATCGACTTGTTCAATACCCGAAACTAGATGAAAGTTATCTAAAGAACGCAAAGGTTGAAACTTTTAACGAAGAGTATCAACCTCCAAGTCTTTCAGGGCCAACTGATAAAGTTCGAGCGACAGTTATCTTGATACGAACTGTCATTAACCAGTTAAAAAAACTGGTTTCAACCCAACTGCCTACGTTAGTATATGTATCATCTTTTACAGTTGCATGTGGTTATATCTGGAGTTGCATAGCAGAATCAAGAAACGATGAGTTAGAACTTTTTGGTTTTACCATCGATTGTAGAGCACGTTTGGATCCACCGATCCCTGCTGCTTACTTTGGCAACTGTGTGACTTTTTGTGTAGCCATGGATAAAGCCAAGCAGTTAATGGGAAAGGAAGGATTCTTGAATGCTGCTAAATTGCTTGGAGAAAGTTTACATAAGACCTTGACTGATAAGGATGGAATCGTGAAAGATTTAGGGTCGTTTGAAGATTTGTTCTTTGAACTGAAGCCAACAACAATGATGGGGGTTGCGGGAACACCAAAGCTCAAATTTTACGATTTGGATTTCGGATGGGGGAAGCCTAAAAAGCATGAAACAGTTTCCATAGATTATAATGGATCCATATCCATGGCTGCTTGCAAAGATCAGAATGAAGATCTGGAGATTGGCGTGTGCCTATCGGCTAGTGAGATGGAGGTTTTTGTTCGTATCTTTAATGATGGATTAGAAACGTACATTTAGATTCATTATATTTTCTTGGTTGCTTTTGTATTTTCTTGTTGATATGTTGATTAATATGTTACGAATTACAATTCATTTAGATTAATCAAATCATATAGTGTTTTGGTTATACTCAAGACTCATAACTCATAAGTCGTGTATGATATGATTTCTGTTGTATCTTAATAGATACAATTGTTGAATAAAAATATATACGTTAAATAAACGATTCGTCTACAAACAATGACATTGCCATCTTTTTCGGGACCATCTCACACTCGTTCCACGGATACTCATGCTTGAAACGGTATCCATAAACGCATTGATCATCTAATCTTCGCACCGTTTCCACTCCCTCTTCTCTTCCTCGAAACTATTCTCAAGCCTTTAAAGATCCTAACTGGTTAAATGCAATGAAAGATAAATATGTTGCACCTATTTTAACGGAACTTGGGTACTTGTGCCTTTGGCCCCAAAATACTAATGTGGATAATTGTATTTGGTTGTTTAAAAAGAAACTTAGTGCATGACTCTTTTGCTTGATACAAGGCGCGTTTAGTTGCTAACGGTCGCAGCCAGCGACCCGATATTGATTGTGATGAGACATCTAGTCCAGCTCTTAAACTAGATACTATCCGGACTGTCTTTGCTTAGTTGTTTCTCATCACTGGCTTGTTCACCAGTTTGATATGAAGAACGCCGTTCTTCACGGTCACGTACATAAAACTATTATATGCATCAACCACCAGGTTCCGCAACCCTTCAGCTCCTAATCATGTATGCCTCTTACAGAAGTCCCTCTATGGTTTCAAACGGGCCCCACGTACATGGTACCACATATTTGCTCAATTTATTACTCGGTTTGGCTTCATCAACAACAAATCAAATATTTAATATGTTTATCTACCACAAGGGGATCACATCGCCTATCTTTTACTTTATGTTGAGGATATTGTGTTAACTACTTCCTCCAAATGTCTTCTACAACATATTATCACCACCTTATGTTTAGAATTCCCCATGACTGATTTGGTTTCCCTAACTTATTTTCTCGGTATAGCTGTTGCTCGAGACCATCATGACATGTTTCTATCTCGACACAAATATGCAACACAGATCCTTGACCGTGCCAAAATGCCCAACTACAAACCTAGTCGAACACCTGCTGACACGTTTACCAAGTTCGATGGCATGCGTGTAAAATCCCAAAATCGCAGGTTAAAATTTTATTTTTAAAATAATAAAACATCCATTTCTAATGAAATTACATTCAAGTCAAACCATCTGTTCATAAACCATCATTCACGAATCATTGTTAAAGAAGACCATGAAGAAACTTAAATAATAAATCTGTTGATGTGTGTGTACAGTCCCACCTTCGCAATCTGATAAGTACCTACAAGCATATTTAATCCACAACTGTAAGCACAAAGCTTAGTGAGTTCCCCAAAATATCGCATACAACACATCATAATAATCAGCTACGGGTTATCAACAACTCTAGGGACTATCAGCGGTCCTAATGGGCTAAGAGCATGCTCTATGGATTAACATCACATCTCACGAGTTATCAGCAACCCTAGGCACTGTCAGTAGTCCCATGGACTCACAACAATCCATTAGTTATCAGTAACTAAGTTCATATATAACATATATCAATAATTAAGCGCCAGTTGGTCAACATTCATATACTACCATACATGCAAGTGTAGTGAAAAGACTCACCTCAATCCTAAAGACAAGATAAACCACCCACTCAAGTCGACGATATCACGCCTCCTCTTGCTAAACATATCCGTAGTAAAACCCTAATTAACAGTTAAGGAAATGACTAACCCACGAAATGTATAGGGTCACAATTAATCCTCCTTTGGGAAAAAGACCATTTTACCCTTCGCATACTAAGTCCCAACATGGTTGACTAACAGTCAAATTGGTCAAAAAGTGAATGGTCAACCCTCAGTTAACTTACACTCAATGTAGCTAATCTAAGTCCATCGTAGAGCTACACTCAACGTGCATAAGTCTACGCTCAGTGTAGAGCTATGTCCAGCATATATAGGCTACGCCCAACGTAGAGCCCCTGATCCCAAAAACTTTTATTATGCTATTAATACAGCAAGCCAAACTCTCAAGATGAACACATAACAAAACTCTAAGTCTATATTGTCACATTTTTCTCAAGAACTCATGCATGGATGGATGGCAGTGCCCAAGCTCTCATTTTTATGAATCTATAACCTCAAAAATATCATAAAGATGCATTTAAATGTTCTGGAGTAACCCATACTCACAAGGTCCAAGATTATAGAGAGAAAACCATGAAACTCATAACGATACTAGAGCTACATGTGCAAGAATCAAGATGAAAGTTTTATACCTTCAAGAGATAGACGTTGGCTTGCAAATCCTAGGTCTACATACCTTGTAGCTTCCTACTTGATTCTATAAACACTTTCATCCTTCAAAGAACACACAAAACTCTCTAAAATCTCAATAACTCACAATTGGTGGCTAGGGTTTCAAATGAACGATAAGAGGTGATCGAAGCTGGTCATGGGAAGGATTAGAAGAAGATAGAGCCCTTATATACGACTCAAAACCTTAGGGTTAGAGTTTTGTTCTGTAGCGGCTATGACCCATTTAGCATAACCTACGCCATGCGTAGGTCATTAAACTCGCGTCCTGAATTTAGTGTCTACGCCTAGCGTACGACAAAATCCCGAACTTCCAATTCAACTTCAAACAGTCATAACTTCTTTGTTTCAACTTCGTTTTCGGTGTTCTTTATATGCACAGAAAGGTATTGACGATCCCCACAACTCTATCTAGTTACTTCTGGCTTAAAACATGTTGAACTAAAACCATAACCCATGAAAGAAGTCTGACATATAATTTTCCCACTTTACTCTTTCATTCCAGTACACAAATCAAGGGCTTAGATCTCATAACCAATATTGCCAACCATAAATAAGGTCTAAACTTTACTTCCTCAAAGCCCAAAGTATTTACATAATCAAATTATGGTCCACAAACCCTAAATTAAGAAATGTCCCAAAAATTGTGTTACAACTCTCCCCCACTTAAATTAGATTTCATCATCGAAATCATTCCTTACTACTTCCTCTACCACACCAGTCGACCCTGCTCGAACTTCCTAAATTCCGATTAGGATTGAGAAGTCATCTCATACAGATGACCACCTTCCAAAACTGCTATCAAATTCCAATCTTATTAGAAATCACTTATCCTGATGAAGAAAAGAAACTTAACTCTCTGTCGTTATACAACGAAAGAAAACCTAACTGCTCTTCCCGAAAACTGGAAACCCTACACCATGTCTAACTTCTCAAAAGACAGAACCATCTAAGGTTTTCCCTGGCCTCGCGCCGTATCACTGATAACTGGGTACAGAATCCAGAATCAACCATCACTGCCAACCACCTCACATACTGACCCGAGAGTGAAATATAAATCAACAAGACTAAACTAGCCTACACATCCTCTTGGTTAAAAAGCCCTGTATCTAGACACAGAGATAAGTAGACGAAACAACATCGGTTCTGGTAAACTCATCCCAAAGTCAGATATCATGACTAAGTACGCACCCGACTTCCTGACAGGTCATGACTAACCCACTGCTCCCACAAGCAAAAACATGGTCAAAACCAAACTTGTGTGACATCTAAGCTCCCAAAACAGCTCAGGTGCATAATCATCATTCGAGACACCCAAGAGACTTATAAACACTTGCATCACCGACTTCATGGTATTCTAACTAGAATACCACTAGCCCTATGTCAATCTAAAAAACTATGGGTTATCGGCATCCCTAACATTATCAGCAGTCTTAGAGTCACCAGCAACTCCGTAAATACTCATAACAATCATCAGGTACTAAAACTCGGCTAGTCTAGCGTGTTCCCAACTATGACATAGGTAAACTAATGAGAGAATTCACGTGAAACCTCATCATAAAACAAACACGAATCAACAAAGAAGAATCCCAATAATAAACTGCTAGTACACCACCATGACTTTTCTAGCAAGTCAGCATCCTACAACTACTCAACCCAACCTGCTGGTCACTAGGCCATCAGTGACAACACTTTACTGCTCAAGCACCCGTCAATCCCACACGATTAGCAAACCGATACACGGGCCTCTACTACACAACTGCCAACCCCACTCACAAAAGTGAAATACATGATGGCTCACGACATGTCGTGACACCATCCTACCATGGGATGAGTAGCTCACGGCTCCTCACCGTTCCTTCCATCACCCAACCACAAACATAAAGACTCCTGACCAACATCCAACGAGACTAAAAACACACTGATATAATCCCAATGATCGGTACGAACACAACTAACATCCCACTTAGAACTTTCCAAAATACATGTTCCCTACCATTCAGAAACACACACGCTTCCACAGCCCAACTTCCACTGACACATCGTCAAATAAACATGACTGCACATAATCATGAAACAAAATAGATAGCCGAACGCCTGCACTGATTTGTAAATGCAACTGACACACTCCCCAACAGAAAACACCACGTTCCTCCAGCCAATTACCATCTCAAACCAACTAGGAAGAACAATTCCACAACCAAGAAATCGAGATGACAACTTCATAGAGACCACGATACCAACTTTACTGAACTTGACTAAGGGTTGACTCATATTGCACCCTTAGTTGATACAACTTGAATCCTTTGAAACCTCAAATGCTAGTGATAAACGAAATAGTTAACAATCAAAAATGGGTCGAGAACTAAATCGAATACCGCACATATACTAAGCAAAACCCCTACGAGATACTATTATCAAACTCTAAAGCTGCCCGACACATCAATGACTGCCTATTCTCGGCTATAAATAGCCAACCCATACCGCGAGCTAACCATGCCTCCTATAATCGATGCATAATAGAGTGTTTCCACGCCCTTCCTTCTAGGTCTGTGTATGTACCCAAAATAGAACTATTGGTCACAACAAGTTCCTTACCCATCA